TCGTGTCCATAGTCTCTGACCTTCTCTTGTATCGTGTCCACAGTCTCTGACCATCTCTTGTATCGTGTCTGCAGTCTCTGCCCATCTCTTGTATCGTGTCTGCAGTCTCTGCCCATCTCTTGTATCGTGCCTGCAGTCTCTGCCCATCTCTTGTATCGTGTCTGCAGTCTCTGCCCATCTCTTGTATCGTGTCTGCAGTCTCTGCCCATCTCTTGTATCGTGTCTGCAGTCTCTGCCCATCTCTTGTATCATGTCTGCAGTCTCTGCCTATCTCCCGTATCATGTCCCCAGTCTCTGCCCATCTCCCGTATCATGTCCCCAGTCTGCCCATCTCCCGTATCATGTCCCCAGTCTGACCATCTCCCGTATCATGTCCCCAGTCTGACCATCTCCCGTATCATGTCCCCAGTCTCTGACCATCTCCCGTATCATGTCCCCAGTCTGACCATCTCCCGTATCATGTCCCCAGTCTCTGACCATCTCCCGTATCATGTCCCCAGTCTGACCATCTCCCGTATCATGTCCCCAGTCTCTGACCATCTCCCGTATCATGTCCCCAGTCTCTGACCATCTCCCGTATCATGTCCCCAGTCTCTGACCATCTCCCGTATCATGTCCCCAGTCTCTGACCATCTCCCGTATCGTGTCTGCAGTCTCAGCCCATCTCTTGTATCATGCCTGCAGTCTCTGACTATGTCCTGTATCATACCTACAGTCTCTGGCTATATCCTGCTGTTTCTGACACTGAATATGCACTGAATCTTATGTGTGCTGTAAAGAGCCACGTTTTAGGCCCCTCACATCAAGAAAGTTTACCACCACTGGCTTAGATCTAAACACAGCTTTCAAAAAAATCATAGAAGCGGTTTCAGGTTTTATTGCCAAAGTTTAATTGAGCAATACTCAGCAATATTCATATATACCGATTTTCGTTTTCAAATTCTATTTGAATTTCGGAAGAAATTTTGTTTTGTTTTTTCAGATTCGTTTAAATGCATAACTATAGTAATTTGGAAATTGGCATTCATCCGAATCTCCAAATAACGAAAACTTTGTCCGAATTTCAAATCAGAGGGAAGCAAACTGCACATGTCTGCTTGACCTCCAGAGGTAGCTGATTCCTTGTGTAATAAGAAGGTTAATATACACCCTATAGGGGTTAGTGACCTAAAATTGCAAAATCTGGTGCACTTCTGCATAGAAACCAATCAGCTGCCAGGTTTTATTGCCAAAGCTTAATTGAACAAGCTGAAGGTAGAAGCTGATTGGCTGCCATGCACAGCTGCACCAGATTCTGAGTGCTGCAGTTTTAGTAAACCTCCCCCAGTTGTCCAGGCATGGTCCACCATTGTGCAGATGAGCCTGAAATGAGTGCTTGTAGACATGAAATGGCTGAAAAAGAATGAAGGAGATCAGCAACACTGAGATGCAAAAAATGTAAAAAGGTGAACAGTGTATTATTATATTAAAACAAACATGACTTGTGATACTTGGTGCTCTAGCAAAATGTCATCCAGTTAGGATTTAGATCTGCTTTAACCTGGAGCAGCAAGAATTGAATTGAATTGATGCTGTTAAACTGGCCAACAACTGCCGCTTCCTGTAATCAGATTCTAACCTTGAGTGCTACACATCTCTTTATTTTTTTAAATATACAGTTGTGTTCAAAATAATAGCAGTCAGACATCACTAACCTGATCAATCACTGTTTTTTGGTCGAAATGATATTTCTACATGGCAAATAATTTACTAGCAGGTGTAGTAGAGTAATAGAAATCCAACAGACCCAACAGTCATGACATGCATGCTGCTGATTCTGTGTAATTGAATCACTAATTGAAAGGGGCATGTTCAAAATAATAGCAGTGTGGAGTTCTATTAGTGAGGTCATTCATTCTTTGAAAAACAGGTGGCAATTATTGCCCTTATTTAAGGAAGGAAGGCAGCAAATGTTGTACATGCTGGTTACAGTGCATTTCTCTCTGAAATTTTGAGGAAAATGGGTCGTTCCAGACATTGTTCAGAAGAACAGCGTACCTTGATTAAAAAGTTGATTGGAGAGGGGAAAACATATAAAGAAGTGCAGAAAATGATAGGCTGCTCAGCTAAAATGATCACAAATGCTTTAAAATGGCAACCAAAACCTGAAAGACGTGGAAAAAAGCGAAAAACTACCATTCGAATGGATAGAAGAATAGCTAAAATGGCAAGGACTCAGCCAACAATCAGCTCCAGGAAGATGAAAGAAGGTGTAAAGTTCCCTGTGAGGACTGTTACAATTAGAAGACGCCTATGTGAAGCCAAGCTATCTGCAAGAAGTCCCCGCAAAGTCCCACTGTTGAAAAAAAGACATGTGCTGAAGAGGTTACAATTTGCCAAAGAGCACATTGACTGGCCTAAAGAGAAATGGCGCAACATTTTGTGGACTGATGAAAGTAAGATTGTTCTTTTTGGGTCTAGTGGCCGGAGACAGTTTGTCAGATGACCCCCAAACACTAAATTCAAGCCACAGTACACTGTGAAGACAGTGAAGCATGGTGGTGCAAGCATCATGATATGGGGATGTTTCTCATACTACGGTGTTGGGCCTATTTATCACATACCAGGGATCATGGATCAGTTTGAATACATCAGAATACTTGAAGAGGTCATGCTGCCTTATGCTGAAGAGGAAATGCCCTTGAAATGGGTGTTCCAACAAGACAACGACCCCAAACACACCAGTAAACGTACAACATCTTGGTTCCAGACCAACAAGATTGACGTTATGGAGTGGCCAGCCCAATCCCCGGATCTTAATCCAATAGAAAACTTGTGGGATGACATCAAAAATGCAGTTTTTGAGGCAAAACCAAGAAGTAGAGAAGAACTATGGAATGTAGTCCAATCATCCTGGGCTGGAATACCTGATCACAGGGGCCAGAAGTTGGGTGACTCCATGCAACACAGATGTACAGCAGTTCTCAGAAACAGTGCGACTACAACCAAATATTCATTAAGTGATTCAAAGGAAAGCAAAATCTTCAAACATTTTTCAGTTTATATAGTGAATGTTTGAGTTTGTAAAGAAGAATACAAATACTGCTATTTTTTTGAACAGTCTAATATTCACTTTTCTTTTTTTTAGAGGAACAACACAAATTTGATGTATTTTTCTTCATGTTTTGATTTAGAATAGAATGTGTCGTGTTCCCAATGCATTTGTGTGTATGGAAATAAAAGCTATTAGAAGGATTTTGAACTTTATTCACTTTTTTCAACACACTGCTACTATTTTGAACAAAACTGTATATACATACATACACTTTGTTTTATATAAAATATCTAAAAAAAAAATAAAGTACTTGAAAGAAAAGTATAGACTTACTCACCTAGGTGAATGCAGTATTGATCTGATGCATTCATCTCTAGTGAGAACTGAGCAATCAAACACCGCTGATCGCTCCGTTCTCCCCTCCACTCTGAGCAGAAAACAGGTGACTGTCAGTGGAGCACTGGGCTGGGCAGGGGCTGGCTCAGACTCTCGGGGATCACTAAGAGCCTGAGCCAGGTGCCGTTCCAGGATTCTGGGTGGATCCTGACCATATGGTCGAGATTTGTTCACAACCTGGACTGGCTCTGCAGAACTAACTACACTCCAGTGATCCATAGGAAAAGTATAGCCATAAAAGCTTTGGCTACATGTCCCCTTTAATCAGGGTACATTCCACCCTGTACTTCAATGCCTTTTGTTTGCATGGCATGACAACAATCCTGCACTGCTCCTGAACTGAGAGCATAGTTGCCGCTCTCATGTAGGCGTTGTCTGCTTCCATTACAGTGGGAGGAAAAGATGTTGCAGGGGGTGTGGCTATCAGGATTGTCACTACTGATTCATAAGCCTGTGGCTTGTTGACCATCACCTGGCCACACCTACTCCCAATGGCTGCAACGCCTCTGTTGCTAAACCCTTTCCGCAGTGTCTGAGAGGGGAGCGTGTGAGACACAAAGGATTTAGAAGTTTTTTTGATAACTTTTTGAGGTTTGTGCTTTACACAGTGACTGGATTTGGTACTTGTATAGATTGTCATACAGAAGCCTTTAGTTGTACTTTAAGGTGTTACTAAACCCCGGACCCTGCATTCACTATATCCGGTCTCCCCGGACCCTGCACTCACTATATCTAGTCTCCCGGACCCTGCACTCACTATATAGTCTGGTGCTCACTATATCTGGGACCCTGCATTCACTATATCTGGTCTCCCCGGACCCTGCATTCACTATATCTGGTCTCCCCGGACCCTGCATTCACTATATCCGGTCTCCCCGGACCCTGCATTCACTATATCTGGTCTCCCTGGACCCTGCATTCACTATATCTGTTCTCCCACAGAACATGGAAATGCAATTATTTTAGTAAATATAAACTGCTAAATACCTTTTTTCATCAGCAGTTAGAGCAGTCTTGTGTCTTCTATCAGTGTCCAGCAAAGCTCTGGTTAAAGTTTATAGGAGGAGTTTTCATTTTCCCCTGATTGTCCTCTGAGGCTACATAATCCCTGACCCTCTGGAAGGGTGCATGTGATCAGCACAGGGCCAATCAGTATGGTCCAGACAAAGAAAAATAAAACTCTCACAATACACACCAAACTGAGTATGTGCAGCTTGCCCCCAAGGCTCTGTTCTATCAGCAGATGGATTGGGGACAGTAGAAGAAGGGGAGGATCAGAGAAGACAGGATCAAACATTCTTTTACACAATGCAGAGGATTAACCCCTTAGGTTCCACAGTGAGTATAACAAGCATGCTTTACTGCTTATACAGAGTGATTTTACTGTTGTGGGTTTAGTAACACTTTAAGTGTCCCAGCATCCAATAAGCACCTGCTTGATTTGGGTCATAAAGTCAGGGATCAGGATGGCAGCCTGCACACCATCAGAAACATGAGAACAATGTCCTTGTAAAGTATGGACCCCCCATGTACAAGTATGTTTACCATTGAATACCTTCTTTCTTTTCAGCTCAAACCTTGAAAGTCGTGGACACCAAGACATTTGACATGTATGAAGGAGGTGAGTTTTTAATGGACTTCATGGGTTTGCTGGATCTGTGTGTGATGTGTAAATGGGGGGAGGAAGATGAAAATTTAGCTGGTACCTTTCAATAATTAAATATATTTGGTTGTACGAACTTTAGAGAATATTTTTTTTTTTCCATCAGGAATGGTGTCATATTAATGGCATGGTGTATATTTCTCACCTACGTTTTATGTCAGTTAATGGTTAAAGAGGACCTTACCCTTCCTTCCCCATCCTGCAGCAAAATGGCAGTAATATATAGTACATTGTGTATAGACAGGTACACTTTCCTATATCCACGCTGCCTTTCCTTCTTGTGTATCCCTTTTCAGAGTGCCTCTGTGCAGCCGGTGTCCATGCTCCCACACTGCCATTTTGAAAAGTATATTGTGGTGCACGAGAAGGAACGTATGACATCATGCGCCTTGTTGCGCACCACACAACATTAGACCCATCTGTTTTTGTGGGGGTTTTTTTGTTTTGTTTGTTTTAAAGGCTTTCCCACAAGATCTTGCAAGACCTTAAGGCGAAAGTTTTTTTTGTTTCTTTTTCAAATTTTTTTTATAAAAAAGAGTTTAATGTGTACAGCACATGTGTGAGATGATCTTGCAGTGTAGATATGGAATCTCCTTGAAAACACTAATGACGTTGCCATTCAAGGGGACATTTGTGTGGCCAGGGGTAAGTCTCTAGTGCCTTCGGAGGAACCAGATATTGAACTCAAAAGAAGATAAGAAAATCAAAAACTGTGCTTTTTTTTTTTTTTGGTTGTTTTTTTTTTTTTTTTATTAGCATTAGATGGTTTCACATACCCACGCAGTGATGCATGCTAATGTGAAATGTAGAAAAAGGGGGAAAAGTCTGCTTTAAAGCTGAATTCCAAGAAAATTTAAAAGTGTTCCCTTGCAGGGTGGATGCCCCTGTGCTGCAAGGGTTAACTGCGCATTTACTTTAGGGTTGCCCTTGCTTTCCTTTATCTGGGCATTGGGGCACTTTTTAGCCCACTGATACAAGGCACTATTCCACCCACAACAATGGGGCATAATTCCTGCTACTGACATCAACAACGGGCACTATTCCTTCCACTGACACCAATGATGGGGCGCTATTCCTCCCACTAACACCAATGATGGGGCGCTAATCCTCCCACTGACGCCAATGATGAGACGCTATTCCTCCGCCCACAGACACCAATGATGGGACACTACTTCGCCCACTGACACCAGCGATGGGGCACTGCTCTGCCCATTGACACCAGCGGTGGGGCACTGCTCTGCCCACTGACACCAGTGGTGGGGCACTGCTCTGCCCACTGACACCAGTGGTGGGGCACTGCTCTACCCAATGACACCAGTGGTGGGGCACTGCTCTGCCCACTGACACCAGCGATGGGGCACTGCTCTGCCCACTGACACCAGCGATGGGGCACTGCTCTGCCCACTGACACCAGCGATGGGGCACTGCTCTGCCCACTGACACCAGCGATGGGGCACTGCTCTGCCCACTGACACCAGTGATGGGGCACTTTTTCTCCCTCCTCCTAATACCAAAGATGCATTGTTTATCCTTACTAAAGCCAGAACAATTTCTGCTCCCAATGGCTACAGTCTGTCCCCCCTAGTCCGAAGACCAGTAAACTGGCCCTTTGTTTTTACAGTTTGGGCACCCCCTTTTTGGGGGAATATTAAGAGCAGATTTACATACATGATCCTCCGTTCTCCACATACACAGGGCTCCCCCATGCTCCAGCAATGTGGACTGTCCCTCAGTGTTCTCACTTTCAGTGCTGGGCTACGGACCCTGCATTGGTCTTGATGATGTCAGAGGACTTTAGACCAGGGACCAGTCTACAGAGCCTAGTCTAGCAGTGTGGAGGATCTGATACAGTTGCAAGAAAAAGTATGTGAACCCCTTGGGATTACGTGGAGTTTTGCATGAATTGGGCATAAAATGTGCTCTTAAACGTCATCTAAGTCGCAACAATAGAAGAACACAGTCTGCTGAACATAATACTACACAAACATTAGATGTTGCCATGGTTTAATTGCACATAACATGTAAACATTCACAGTGCAGGGAGGAAAAAGTATGTGAACCTTTGGACTTAATAACTGGTTGACCCTCCTTTGGCAGCAATAACCTCAACCAAACGTTTCCTGTAGTTGCAGATCAGACCTGCACAACGATCTGGAGTCATTTTGGACCACTCCTCTTCACAAAACTGTTTCAGTGTAGCAATATTCTTGGGATGTCTGGTGTGAATCGCTCTCTTAAGGTCATGCCACAGCATTTCAATCGGGTTGAGGTCAGGACTCTGACTGGGCCACTCCAGAAGGCGTATTCTGTGCTGTTGCAGCCATTGTTTTGTTGAATGACTTGTATGCTTTGGGTCATTGTCCTGTTGCATCACCCATCCTCTGCGGAGCTTCAGTTGGCGGACAGATGGTCGTACGTTTTCCTGCAAAATGTCTTGATAAACTCTGGAATTCATTTTCCCATCAATGACAACAATCCGTCCAGGCCCTGAGGCAGCAAAGCAGCCCCAAACCATGATGCTCCCTCCGCCATGTTTCACAGTGGGGATGAGGTTTTGGATGTTGGTGTGCTGTGCCTTTTTTTCTCCACACATAGTGTTGTGTGTTCTTCCCAAACAACTCAATCTTGGTTTCATCTGTCCACAGTATATTTTGCCAGTAGTGCTGTGGAACATCCAGGTGCTCTTTTGTAAACTTCAACCGTGCTGCAATATTCTTTTTGGACAGCAATGGCTTCCTCCGTGGTGTCCTCCCATGTACTCCATTCTTGTTTAATGTTTTCCTTATTGTAGATGTGTCAACAAAAATGTTAGCATGTGCCAGAGATTTCTGTAGGTCTTTAGCTGACACTCTGGGATTCTTCTTTACCTCATGCAGCATTCTGCGCTGTGCTCTTGCAGTCATTCTTACAGGACGACCACACCTAGGGAGAGTAGCAACAGTGCTAAACTTTCTCCATTTGTAGACAGTCTGTCTTACCGTGGACACATGAACATCAAGGCTTTTGGAGATACTTTTGTAACCCTTTCCAGCTTCATGCAAGTCAACAATTCTTGATCGTAGGTCTTCTGAGAGCTCTTTTCTGCGAGGCATGGTTCACATCAGACAGTGCTTCTTGAAACCAGTAAACCCAAAACAGGTGTGTGTTTTTTTAAGGGCAGGACAGCTGTCAGCAACACATCTAATATCATCACACTGATTGGAGTCAAGGTTGGCTCACTCCTGGCTCCAATTAGCTCTGGGAGAAGTCATTAAGCTACGACCTCACATACTTTTTCCTCCCTGCACTGTGAATGTTTACGTTATGTGCAATTAAACCATGGCAACATCTAATGTTTGTGTAGTATTATGTTCAGCAGACTGTGTTCTTCTATTGTTGTGACTTAGATGACGCTCAGAGCACATTTTATGCCCAATTCATGCAAAACTCCACGTAATCCCAAGGGGTTCACATACTTTTTCTTGCAACTGTAAGTAAAACTGCTGTGCCCATTCATAAACATAAAAACTAAACTAAAAACCATCAGCACTTAAAGAACAATAGACCCACTAATCCTGCCTACGTGATACAGTCAACATGAAAAACTGTGAGTCCTCCAATTAAACAGAAAGTACAGCGCTCAGCCAGTGAATAAACCCTGAACCTTGATCTTAAGAACTATGCAAGATAAATGATAATGATACAGTGTAAAGTCTTTGATAGAAACAAACAAATCTGTCCCACATGCCGTGATGAAACCAGAGAACTTCATATCACCAATGTGACGCCATCCACTTGCATGCAAGGCTTACCGGAAGGATTGCGACCCCTTACTAAGAGTGGTCAATCAATGCTCATTGTTATAGTATTGGTAACATCATGGATATGGATGATCCCCCAGAATGTTCCGAAAGAGTGGCAAGGGTTCAGCCAAAACAACTCTTAAATAATGGCTCCAGACCCTCCAATGTGAATCAGTAAAGCTGACACTCGTAATAAATATATATATATATATATATATATAAGAGAAATGCTCCACATAGTTTCAAACCACCAATATTAAGAAATGTATTGGGTATGTTGCATTTATATGATCAAAGTTAAAATCAGCATGTACAAAAACACCATAGAAGTATTCCACCAACAAAGATGGCCACTGGCTGGTTGCGCATGCTTGGTAGCTGTTAGATTTTAACTTTGGCCATGTAGGTGCAATGGTGTAAAACCACCAATATTAAGAAATTGAATTTGCTGAAGTGACACCCATACACAGGGAGTGAGGCTTATGCTTTACAAGGGCAGGAACCTCTTCATCAGAGCTAACCTGTGCTGTGCCCATTCCCCTATGCCTAAAGAAAATACGTCAGAGACATGGGAGATTATCAAACTTACAATACCTATAAATGGCAGAATATTGTTCAGAATAATTGTCAGTCGACAGATATTACGTCAGCCAATCCACCCATTAAAGAGAAAATTAAATATCAGAATGTCTTACCACAAGAAAAAAAGATGGAGGACAGGCGGAAAAATAGTGTCCACCATACACAGAATGCACAATATAATTCCCCATGGAGAACTAAAGGTAGAGGTAATGGCAACCCAGGGAGCCCTTATAATAATCAATTTAATATTCCAGTCTATAATAGATTTCAACCTCTGGATGGGTGGAGAAATCTTCCATCATATGGAGGAAGTCCAAGAAATAATAATAATTTTTTTCAGCGAGGGTACAGAGGAAGACCACTTGGACCCCAAACAAGAGCCCCATTTTACCAACAGGGTTGGGGAAGGGGAGCCCCAAGGGAGTACCCTTATCCAAACTATTACAGAAGGGAGATGGAGAGACCAGCATTTCCAAGAGGAGAGGAACAAATAGCGCTGACCAGCGAAAGTCCAGAAATACAAGGGAAAGAAATAAGGACGGACAACAAAAGGAAAAGGAAAGATGTGTAGGGGAAGTATTTATAATCTCAGTT